GAAGGATTTTCGTCAACTCACTGGTGTCCATTGCGATGTGCCACACCTGGGTCACACCCCCTCAAGTCACCTTTTTGGCTTTTTCTCACATTACTTACTAGTACTAGTAAGTTACTAGCCTCTGTCGATTTTACGTAGACTACCTAAAAGCTAAAACTAAGACTAAAACTTGTAAAAAGTCCTAACATTTGGCTAAAACAAGTAAAAACCATCCGATAATACAACAATTTAATAATAAATTAATAAATTAATATAATAATTTTAATTTATAATACCAAACTAAAAACCCATAGAAATAGCAAATAGTAGGTCCCTCTTTTCGCGTCCTATTAATTTTATAATTTATCCTTCTACTCATTTCATAGATAGATCTAGAAATCTAGGTCTAGATGTAGAGCTAGAGATATAATCTAGATCTAGATCCTGATAAATCTAGATCTAATCTAGAATCAAGATTCTATTTAATTTTAATGTGAAGTGTTACTTTACCTTGTAATAGAATATTGAATTTCTTTTGTTTCCTTTATTTTTTGTAAATAGGGTTGTTTAGTAACTTCTAGACCAGCAGTTTTAAAATGTTAGGAAGGAAACATGTTTAAACTAGCTCCCTGAACATTAAGAAACTATTTTGACTTTCAAAATAACTCGATTCTTTTCGACGTAGGGCGGCTAAACTGCTAAATAGCAAGAACATACATTTTTAATCAGCACAATATTTATACGGTTAAGGGGCATAAACCGTGTAGATTCTAGACTAAATAGACAATATAGACCTAAACTAGAGTCTGCAAAGGTAAACTAAGTACACTTACCCAGCCTACACTTAGTCTACGACTCTACGACGTAGACCCTAAAAAAAGTAAATATTTTAAGATTTAAATGCTAATGATGACGAAGATGGTCCGAGTTGATATCTAGAGACTAGATCTAATACCATTTGTTTTTAACTCTTTTAAAAGTAAAATCAACTAACATTGATAAATTGTTTTGAAAACTTAAAACTTACAGAAGTAGATCAATCAATTTGCGACATCAAACTATTTAAGTTTGCTAAATGAAACTTACACTTATAACCCAGAAAATAGGTCTAATCAGCATTGGTTCCACTAAACTTAACACGAAGACACGCCCCCTACACATTGCTCTACTTAGACATGAAAGTCAAGGACACCGCTAATAAACTGATCGTTTCCTCTGATATAGGCACGCAGGCTGTAATAGTTTCAGCACTAGGCTTAGGGGCGTAGCGAGGGGGGGGGCGGGGGGTGCGGACCGCACCGGGTGACACCAAGGCAAAAAATAGCAAAATATATAGAGAAAAACTTGAGGGGGGGGTGCAAATCGAAAGTTTGAGGGGGGGGGGTTGCAAATCGAAAACGTGACGGGGGTGCAAATCGAAAACATGAGGGGGGGGGGGTGCAAATCGAAAATTTGAAAGTTTGTCCCCGGGAAGAGTAGCTACGCCTCTGGAGGGGAGACACCATTAAGTGCCGCACCGGGGGTGACAATCGACCTCGCTACGCCACTGACTAGGCTTATAGAAAAAGGTTAATTGTATTCAAACAACGTCGCGTTTGTTTTTTAATTGTTGTTCAAAAATGGGTAGTAAACATCAATTTTTTATATCCCCTTTTTTTTTCGCCAAATATGTTGGATAAACCAAAATATCAGACGCTTTCTACTAGCCTAATTATTAATACATTAAATTAATACCATTAGGAACAATAGGAACATAAATTAACCAAAAGTATTTTAAATTTATTTAGAAAAAATGTCAAGTCACTGATGGGTGATTAAGTGGTGTATTACCAGAACCCGTATTAGTCAAAGAATGAAACTACAGAGAAGCCCCTAGTGAGTCACTGTGCCCCGAGTCACTGTGCCCCGAGTCATTGCGCCCCGAGTCATTGTGCCAATGGCGTCGCTAGGTCGGGTGTCACCCGTTTGTGACACTTCGTCGTTTTACCCCTCCCCCCCCCCCCAGAAACAAAGTATATATGTGTGAGTATGTATATCGCGTTCTACATAGGCCTATAATTTAAATATATACCACATACGGGTACATGTATGTGCTTAAGCTTTAATCACTGCACACTTATAAATGGTAACGATGTGTATCTATAGTCTGCTAATAATACAGTTGTATGTAGTATTGTTTTCTTTATAGTTATCACGTTTATGTCATGGTGCCCCCCCCCCCCTCTTGTAATAATTGTCGATTTGTATTTATAAACTTTAATTAATCACTACTGGATTAAAGGCATTTTTCTTCTGTACATTTGCAATTTTTAGCATTGGTGTCACCCCCCTAAATGGCGTCACCCGGTGCGATCCGCACCCCCGCCCCGCCCTTGCTACGCCTCTGCACTGTGCCCAGAG